TAAAAATTAACTAAATTATTTCATTTACTTTACATATGTCAAATGATAAAATTTTTAATACAAATTGGCTTAGCTTATTTGTTTATTATTTAAAATCTCCTTGTTTATTTATATATTATTCACAAATTTCCTTATCCATTTATATCAAAATTTGTTTGTTTTTTTTTTATTTAATTAGTATCATTTAATTATACAAGAATTTTAATTAATGATTGTTATTTTATAACTAATATTAAACCATTAAAATTATTATAAAAATATTTATTTATTTTTAATTAAAATTCTACTGTATTTACAATTATAAATTACAAATTATTATTGGCAAAAATATCTATTGTTATTCTTCACACTTATCAAATAAACAAAAATCAGAATCCTATTAATAGTACAAATTAGATATCTTATTTATGAAAATTCATAAAATAAAAAATAAATCAAAAATTTTATTTATGAATTAACTGTCTATACAATGAATCTTCTATAAATATATTCTCTATAAAGTATATCTCTTTATAAATGTATTTTATACTTTTATCTATTAATAACACTTATAAAAATTTCCTTTATAAATGTATATTAATAATAATTTCCTGGAAAGTACATTTATAGAAAGTTTATTGTACTTAATAAATTTTAACAAAATTCATTATCAATTAGAATTCTATTTATAATAAAATTATCTTATTTTTTTCTATTTGACTAGTGTTATAAATTATAATTTTTTCTTTTTTTTTTTTAAATTATAATTAAAAATATCTATTATCATATTACAAGTTACAATTAATTATAATATTTTCAACTGTTTTTTTGAATTATAATAAATATTATTAATTACTATAGATAAAAATAATGTTTGTAATTATTATTAAGGATATAGTATCTAATACAATAAAAAATAACATATATTTTTAATTATTATATCTTCATATTATTTTTTTATTATTTTAAATAACAAATGAAATTTTATTTATATTTAAAATATTATTATAACAAAAAATAAATATTGATTATAAATAAAAATTAACAGTTACTTTGAAGAAATTTTTTCTATTTAAAGTTAATAGATTACAATTCTATTATTATCTATTAAAAAGATAAAGTCAAAAAGTACTGTTACTTATTTTATAATAATTATTTATAATCAGATTTTTAATAATTTCTTCAAATCCAATAAGTTTTTTAATATTTTCATATATCTAATCTTGTATAATTCTAATTTGAATAATTCTTTCTTTTCTTTTTAGAAACAATTTCTTATTTATTTTATTTTATAAATTCTTTATATCTTTTTATTTATTTTTTTTAAAATTGTTCTAATTACTATTATTATATATTGAATAATCAAAAATTAGTAAAATTTTTAATACAAATTGGCTTAGCTTATTTGTATATTATTTACAAATTAACTTATCTATTTATATAACTCCTTTTTAAAATATCTTTGAAACTAATATAATTTAAAAAACTAAATACCTCTAATTTTTTTTAATAGTTTTTAATTTTATTTATATTAAATTATATAATTATATTTTTTATATACATCAGGAATTTTATAGAGATGTTTTAATATATTATAAATATAAACCATTTAAATAATACACTAAAAATGTAATTTTAGTATATTATAAATATGAAATGTTTAAATAATGTACTAGAACATTGTGTTTTAATATATTATAAATATTAAATATTTAAATAATACACTAGAACAGTATATTTAATACTATACCTGCTACCCAAATTCAAAATCCAAATGCCAAAATTCCAAATGTCAAAATTTCAAATGTCGAAATTCCAAATTCCAAATTCTAAATTATGATTAGTATTTTTTGCCAAAATCCCAAATCCCAAATCCCAAATGATTTGGGATTTGGGCAACATGTATATTTGATATATTATTAATATGAAATGTTTAAATAACATATTAAAAAATTACATTCTAGTATATTAATATCATTTGAATAATACTATAGAATGGTATTCATATAATATTATAAAACTTTTTTATTTAATTTTTGATATAGGTAATTGTTCAAAAATAAACTTTTAAAATATAATAATTAATATTTAATAAATTGTTTAATTTGATTTAACTATTAAATAAAATACAAAATTATTCTTTTATTTCATTTAAATCACTGTTAATTATTATTACTATTCTAATAATATTAATTATTATATATAATACTAATTAAGTCAATTTTTAATTATATAAATTTAAAAATTATTTTATTTATTAAAATTTTAATTATTTGATTTAATTATAAATTGTATTAATTATATGATAATAAAATTTGTATTTTTTAATTATATATTCTGTTAGTAATATTATATAGTGTTAACCTTATTTCTTAATTTTTATATATATATTTTTATTAGTATTATTATATTAGTTTATTAGTTAGATTTCTTTATTTGTATAACATTATATATTAGTACTATTATTTATGAGTAACAGATGTAAATCATTTTTTATTGTGATGCGAGGTCGACACCTCTGGTTGACACCTTTGGTTAATACCTCTGGTCGCCATCTCTGGTAAACACCTCTAGCACAAATAACTCATTAGTCAAAAATAGCTCATAGAATCTCCCGGGATATTACGGAATTTTCTGGAGCTTTCTTGAGATTAGTAATTATAGTCTCGCGAAAGGATGTCAATTTTGTATAATAGAGGTAACTTTTGTCTTAGAGTTAGGACAGTTAAAACTTGAATACATTTTGAACTTAATATATGTAATAAATTATTAATAAAAGTCTTTGTGACAATAATAATTTGACACCTTTGATTTCTTAGTGAAATACTTGTTTGATAATAATATCCTGCTTCATGATCTCAGTATTATTCTGCCTATAATTAACCTTGCTTCATGATCTTGGTTAATTATAATAATTCTGTATGAATTCTTATAGTTTCTATGTGAAACTGATAATATTCTGTGTAAATATTTGTTGATTTAGTATAAAAATCTTATATCCCTTTAAAATCCTCACACCTTAGTCTCTTTCAAACAAACCCGCAATATCAAATCCTTTATATTTTATACCTCTTCAAGTATAAAATCTTCTAACTATAACATATTCGTCCAATTGCTTTGTGACCTTTTGGACAATAGTTTTCCTATTATCAGTTGTTAGTTAATCATGTTTAGTAAAGGTAATCACAGTCAACATCATCTAGTATAACCACCTGATGCTTTTAAAATATCCTTTACTCGTTCAGGCATTGATTCTATTAGTTTAATATATATATCTTTTAAAGTTTCATTCCAAATTTTAGATACATGTTTCTATAATAAATCTTTATTTCAAATTTTAATATTTAATAATCTTAGACAATGATCAACATCATTTCAAAGATGTTCGATTGGATTAAGATCAAGTGACTGCAGCAGCCAGCTTAAAACATTAATTTTATTATCTTCAAACCATTTTGCCATATGTTTAACCATGTGTTTTGAATCATTATCTTGTTGAAAAATTATATTTTCTACCTCTAATCTATAATATTCTTAGGTCTCCATAAAGTCTTCATCCAATATCTTACAATATAATTCAGCATTAAGATCTCTATTAATCCTACACAGGTATCCTATTCCTTTAAATGTGAAACACCCCCATACAAAAACATTATCACCTCCAAACTTAACTATAGGTTTAACAAGTCTATTATTAAGACCTTCTCCTTCTCTTTCCAACAATACTGACATCAATCTGAACCAAATATTTGAAATTTGAATTTGTCAAACTAGATAATCCACTTCCAGTTCTTAACAATCTAGTGCTTATATTTTTTTATGAAAGCATGACATGTTTTTTGATAAATTTTAAAAAACAAAAACTTTTTTCATTTAACTTTTGTCACCATATCCTGTCTTTTTAGTACCTTACATATAGTATTAGTACTAACATTAATATTTTTATTTATTTTTAGGGATTTTTGAAGTGCTACAGCTGTTAATACTTCATTTGTCAATATTTAGTGAATGAGCATCTGTTTATTTCTCTTATCCCAAATCCTTTTCCATCCTTAGTTTTCTTTATTTTTGACTTTTCCTGTTTCTTCATACTTCTTTTTTAGTCATAATATAGAAGAGTGGTGAATATTTCCTAGTCTTTTGGCCACTTCTCATGAGGTAAATCTGACTTGGAGTAGTACAATCACATGTTGTCTTTGTTCAAGGGTTAAGTTATTATTTATTAAAAAACAAGTGGATTTTTTTAAGCTAATTTAATGAATGTGTTGTAATGTTGTAAAAATAAAATTTTCTAATTTGGCTTTTCAGTGGTTATTATTGAAAAAAAAAACTTCACTTAGAAGCTTTTTGGTAGAAAAAAAATTACCAAAATAAATGCACCAAAATTTTTTTTATTGTTATCAATCACTGGCCAATCATCATTCAAATCAGGTAATAATGATTTATGGCATATGATTCGAGACTATAATTCATTAAAAAAATTAATTTTTAAGTAAAATATAATAAAAAAATTTAAATATTTTATAGTGGTGCATTTATTTTGGAAGCCACTGTATTTATTATTATTATATTAAAATTGTTCGAAATATCAAGTAAAATATTTTTATTTTGGTTCTTATTCTTTTTTGGTAAAAAGGAATCTCTTTTTCCTCCTTTTTTTTTGCTGGTTATTTTTATACCTTCCAATTTGTTCTCTTTTCCCTTTTGTTTTTGCGTCTAAACACGTTTTCTCCTTTTCCCCGAGGATGACACACAAGGATGAAAGATGCTGTGCAAGGATGAGAAATCTGTCATCTAGATGGTAGCACACTCATCCTCAGGTAACACTGTCATCTTGCTACCATCTCCCGTGACAGTGACATTCGTAACCTTCCGCAATCCTCGTACAGCGTTCCTCGTGGCATTCGTGCCACCTCCTAAATATTAATTAAGCGCAAATTATAATCACGTGTGTGGAATTTTTTTATAATTAGTATATGACAACATAATTACGTAGTAAAGTCTTGCGTATATAATTCAAAATGTCTCTTTTGCAACCCCAGGTACAAACTATTCTTTCGCCCCCCGATGTCAAAATTAGAGTTGAAGAAGAATCCCTATTTACCAGTATAACACTATATCCAAAAAGGTCTTTGTTTATACTTTACTGAAAATTAACTTTTGAACCTTGTTTTTAATTCCGTTTCTTTCGCGTTCGCAGAAATCTGGCCAAAATGATTTTAAATTGTTTTGTCCTAGGTGAAACTTGTAGTTTTCCGATTGTTCTTGGAGAAAGAATTACAGTCAAAAATAATATAATCCCTTTTGATCAATTTAATGTTGGACTTCTCAAGGAATTCATCTGGGAGAAGAGAGTTGATGTTATTAGTAGCTTTAAAATGGATCTTTGGAAGGTTGAGATTGAGGAAACCGATGAAAACATAGAAAAACTTCAAAATATTGAAACTGACATTAAAGAAGAATTTGGAGGTGTTAAGTTGTTGGCAACTAGTTTTGCTAGTGAAATTTATTCAAATTCCCCTCCAAAAAAGCGCATCCACATCATCGTGCAACTGCCCGCCACCACTGGTAAGTGTCTCCCAATTTTTACTTCGAACAAGATATTTGCAGTTATCTCATTCTTTTATCCGATTAGGAAAAAGAAAACCGGAAGATCCAGATGAGGAAAATGATGGTCAAGGCATGAAAAGAGGTGGGCAATATACTGCTTACGACGTTGACTAGTAATCTTATTTTTATTTTTATTTTATTTTTTAGCAAAAACCTTGGCTTCTTTTCTTTCATTTGCGACATTACAATCTCCTGATGTAAAAAATCTTTCCCACAAGTTCTATGACCGTGATCAAACTTTGAATTCAATTCTGGATGTTGCTCGCACAAACTACTCCGGGCGCAAAAGTTCTGACCACAAAGATCACCAATTTATTCTAATTCCTGGAGGGATAGGAATAGGAAAGACACGCATGGGGTGGGAATCACAACATATGCTTTCCATTCTGAAAGCAAAAGATAGCGACACTGATGATTTTGTTGAAGCTCTAAACGATCCATGCTACATCTTCGTTGACTTGAATAATGGATGTAAATATATTAAGGGGTTTGATGAAGTTGCGGAAACAAGTGTGCGAATAGGAGCGCGTGTTGCGGTGGCTTCAGGTTTGGTGTCTGAGAGCCTATCTGATTTGTCAAAGATGAATGTTAATCTTTTCCGCCTTCCTGACGTGATTTGCGAGATTCTTAAACGTCGCTTTAAAACAAAACTGTGTTCGGTTGAGGCTATTATCATCCATCTTGACGAATATCAACTGTACATTAATGATGTTCAAAAGGACCAACAACAATCTTGGGCTGATGCTCGCGATTACTTTAAAGCATTACTAAGAGAGATCGGTAGTGTCATGCGTGGTAATATGATGATAAGAACGGAGAGTGGACATGCTGGCAACTCTCACCATGGGTTTAACGGCAGATATTTTATCATTCCAATTTGCACGGGAACGTCCGCAATTGACATTCACTTTTTGCCTACGGAGCATACGAATAGAATATTGGAGCTTAAACCTTTAGATTATGAATCAGCAAAATCAATGTTTCTTGACAAGTATGAATGTTCGAGGCAAACAACCGAAACAGGCAGAAATCTAGTGGTTCAAGGTCTCAAATTACGTTATTCGTCTGATCTTAATAATGAAAATATCGAAAGGCTTTCAACAGAATTTTGCAACTTTGTCCTGAACCAGCAACACTTTCGCATTGCCATTTTTGACACTGGCTTCATTCCGAAGTTCATTGATGATCTCTTAGGTCCTTCTGTTCTCACGTCAGATTTTGATTGGGGGAATCAGCTTTTTACTAAAATATCTAAGCGGACTGTTGCTATGGTTGGAAATGATCCGGGTAATTGGAAAAGTTTGAATGATATACGTACTGTAATCTCATTTGGGCTTACTGGGCAACTTGTTAAGCGAGACTTTCTATTACCCAGCCGTACTTCCATTGGTGAACTTGAACGAGCTGGTTTGGTTTATCTCTCCAACTCTGAAGATGAATGGTATACCATTGTTATGCCTTTCATAATGCTGAAAATACTCAACAACAAACTCCTTGTTTCTCACGTAGAAACTGTGTTTCCAGATCACCTTCTCTTAATCCCGACACATGATTCCCCTTGGCAATGGCAAAACTTTGAACTTCTATACGTATATTACCAAAAAGCCATTATTGATAGTTTAATCGAAGTTCGGAAGTCAATTATTTTGTCAATTCAGCATAAAATTCAGTTACTTCAATCGTGTTTGCAACAAGAAGTTGAAGCTAATAAACGACTGCAGATCGGTGACGAAATCAAAATTCAAAGAGAAAATCTTACTTGTCAATTAAGCATGAACTGGCGACTATCTGATATATTTCGTGGCGCGAAAGGCGTTGACGCGCTTCTTCAACGAAGAGTACAGTTACGCAAACTCAATGTCTTTGCCGAAAAAGATAAATTTCTTGAACGGACAGACAGCATTGCAAATTTAAACAAGTCGATATTATGCGATGACAACGTGACTCGCTCATTCGATGAAGGCATCTTCCGCTGTTACCGAGGGTGTGCTAATATTGATCACCGTTTGGTTCTCGATTCTTCTGATAGTGGAAAGAAATTGGCAATCTTTTCGCAAATCAAGTATTCAGAATGCGATGCATCAACTACTATTTCCATACCATTCATTAAAAATTGGTATGAAACAACAATAGCATCAGTTAAAAATTACAAAACTGAGTATGATGTGGTTCTTGTCTTGTTCACAAACCGACGCTGTTTAGGACATCTCAATGTTGGACAAATGCCTCAACTGCTTCTTATATATCTAGAAAATATCGAGTCGTATCTTTCTCCGACATTTGCTCATCGTGGTTTAGTGGATAGGCCAAGTGAAAAATAATTTGTTTTAAATCCGATTAGAAAGAAATTTTTCATTTATATTGTAATTAGAACCCGATGTGGGCAGGAATCTTTATTAATTTTTTCACTGATTTATGATAATAAAAAAAATATAATAAATGAACGGAGTAGCAGACGTTTAAAGGGAGGAACATCTCGAGCCCTAACCCATAAAATGAGAGTTCCTTTCCTTACTCCGTATTATTAGCTAAGTTATTATCATTATTATCATCTAAAATTATATTACTTGAAAAATTATGTGTTGGTAAGACACTAGTTCCGCTATTATGGCTCTATTGCTACTACCGCTACTACTGCTAATAATAACAGAGTTATCTTTTTTCTTGTTTTCTCTCTCGACCCAATCTGAGATTTTATCCAGCAATGTCATTTGCGGTGCTCTCTGGTGTCCTATTTCTCTGGATAAGGCATTATATAATTTCGTGGGAGAACATTTTCTCTTTTTCTTCTCTCATCAAATAGGGCGGTAAATTTGACCCAGAGAGTTTGAGTTTCTTCGAGATATTCAGATTGGTGGCTCTGCACGGATACATGCCCTAGATATGGAATATGTGTTAATAGATATCTGAAATACTTGTTAAGTCTATAGCAGAGCTAGTGTCTTGGTGTAAACCAGCTTCCAGCTGACACATAATGTAATACTAACCTTGACTTCGGACTTCACTTCTCCATTCCAAATCTTTTCTATTCTTGCATGATCATTTTTTAGAGCCAACATATCTCGTTTTAATTCTTTTTATATCTGCATCCAACGTAGTGGGAATTGGAGTTGGAGTCGGGGGTGGAGATACAGTTTTTCGTAGATAAATAAATGTTACGGCGACAATTACATACACCAACCTGCCAAAAGTATCCGGGCAACAATTTTTTTGTCAAATTTTTAAAAAATTTTAAGGATGAATTATAG